TTTTGAACGCGAATTACAGCCAAACGGCTAAAACCACAGTAATATATCTATACTTGCTAGATATGTAGTGCGAGCTCATTTTTTGCGTGATGGAAGGTTGATTGATAAATAATAATTAATAAGTTTGTAAAAATAAAATTTATTTCATTGATTTATATATAATTATATAAAAAAAGAGGAATTAAATATCAACGGGAAGGAAGGAAATTACAAAATTTAAAAAAATAGCGTTTCCTTGATATGCTGTTTTGTGGGTGAGAAAACTCATCAATAAATTAGGGGAAAAAAAAAACGATAATACTATATGTGATGATGAGGATGATGCTAATCAAATACTTCATTTGACAAATGTTGTTTGTCTTCTCCGTGTTCGTTTTTTTTTTTACTTTTGTACTGTGAAGGAACCACCTTTGTTTTGTTGATTCGCACTCACGCAAATTGTGAATCTCCCCCTTATTCTCTCCGTCTTCAGCTACTCGAAGTCCATGCCATGTCCATTCGTTCAAGCGTCCTCGAATATGTTATTTTCTGATACTTTTTTTTTGTTTTGTTTGTTTTAAACTAATGAGAATGTTTCGGTTTTTGGAGCTGCTGCCGTTTGGGTTCGCTTCACGGCAACGCAGTTTCCTTCTCCTTATCGCTGACGCCCTTCAGAGGTTGCATCTCCTGCGATTTGGGTGGTTCCTTCTCGCTGTTCCACGGCTGCAGCTCGCCGGAGCCGAAGAGCAGAAAAACGAGTGCGCCGATCGTGTAGACGACGACGAGGATCCAGAAGACGTAACGCCACTGGTCGAACGTGTGGTTCTCGTGGGTGAGGGTCGCGACCATGAAGGTTGAGATCCAGCCGCCGAGGGAGGACAAGGTGTTGGCCATGCCGAAGATGGTGCCGGAGAAGTTGGGTGCGATGTCGAGACCGTTCGCGAGGTAACCGGCCGTGACGGCGCCGTTGAAGAAGAGCGAGCACGTGAAGATCGTCACCGAGATGGTCGGATCGTCGCCGAAGAGGGCCTGCAGGATCATCAGGAGGCCGGGCGTGAAAACGGCGAAAGTGGTGAAGCTCTTCCTCGTCACCGTCGTCGACAGTTTTCCGGATCGTCTAAGTCTGTCGGCCAGGTAACTCGCCATTATGGCCATCGCGTATTTACCTGAGAACAGAACAGAAGAAAATTCATGTCGTTAACGTCGTAAATCCACAAATTGCAATCCATTAATTACGGACTTTAATTTTGAAAATTTTCGTAATTGCTATTGTTAATTAGAAGATGCGTAAGAATAATTATCGGATGAATTAGCCGGAGCCACGATCTGTTAATTGAGATTAATTTGTTTTCGTTTAGCAAATTGTTTGCATTTTCACATGAATTCAAACCAAGGCTGCTCGAACTTGACGTTTCCTATTATAAATAGATTGTGTTGTGGGTAGAGAGAGAGCGAGTGCATAGTTTTTGTATCGGTTGGAAGGAATTAATGAAATGCAAGCGGAACAATTGACATTTTTATGGAAATGTTTGCGGACTTGACGGAATCCTGTCGCCGCGTGTAAGAAATCCTTAAGCGAACTGCACATGTTGATCAAATTGCTATCATCGTTCCAAAAGAGTTACTTTTGATAGTATTTTGATAGTTTTAAAAATAGATGTAGTGGATTTGTTTGTTTGTTTCAGAGAAGTTGAGTTGTTTTGGTTTGGAAGAAATTAATGAAATGCAAGCGGACGTTGCGTCGTCGGAACAATCGACATTTTTATGGAAATGGCCACGGGGTTAATGGAATCCTGCCACTGGACGCAATCGTAAAAATCGGAGAGGCAAGCAGCAAACAACCTCCTAGCAAGAGAAGCAAGCCTTTCATCGAGCGCGCGTTTCTATTCTTAGTCCCTAATTGATTCGAATGCCGGAGGAACAGGTTTCCGTATTTATGGGATGCAGTAAATGAGATGCTTACCGAGGTAGGGGAGACTGGAGAGGAGGCCGTTCTTCTTCACGTTGAAGTGGAGGACTTCCTTCATGTAGGTGGGCAACTGGTTGACGACGGTGAAGTAGCCGAAGACGGAGCAACCGTGCGTGACGATGATAGCCCAGACGGGAGCGGAAGCGAGGATTGCCCTCCACGGCACGCGACTTGGCTTCCTGGTGCCTCTGTTACCGGATCCCTCCTCGATCTTGGTCTCGATGTCCATGCGCTCTTCGATGCTGATGCGAGGATGCTGCGCCGGAGAGTCGTAGATGAAGAAGAACCAACCGATGGACCAGATCACGCCGACGACGCCCGTGATGTAGAAGACGCTTTCCCAGCCCCACTGAGCGATGAGGAAACCGCACACGGGCATCGTGATGGCCGCGCCAAGAGAACTGGCCATCATGTTCGCGATGAACTTGGAGCGTTCCATCGGCGGAATCCATTTGGCGGCCATCGGCGGGATCGAGGGCCAAGTGGCGCCCAGGAAGAAGCCCAGAAGGCAGCGAAGAACCACCACAGTTATGTAACCCATGTGGCAGGCTGCCGGCGTGACCAGCGTGATCAAGCTGGCTGCTAACATGCCACCACCGAACACCCGCTTCGCTCCGATGATCTCGGACAACCTTCCGCCGGGTAACTCTGTCAATATGTAGCCCCAGAAGAAGCTGCCCAGTATATTGTTTTGAGCGTACTTGTCCCAATGGAACTTGGTGCCCTCGTTCTCGTACGGAATGGGCTGCGTGTGATTGGTACCCTCTACCATCATCGTCGAGTTGCTCTCATCGTCCTCCACCATCTCGACAATAGCGATGGTCAGATTCACGCGCAGCATGTAGTTGAACATGAATCCCAGAATGACCATGAAATTCAACACCTGTCTGCATGATATTTTATCTGCAACAATAGAAGAAATAATTTATTGCCATATTCTTAAAACCAGTGAAGACCGTAGAACGTATATTGTCGTGTCCCAGGGTTAAGAAATCCTTGGACACCGTGGATTATCTCGTAGTTATGTCGTTGTGGAGTCTTAGAGGGGTTTATGAATATTAAATGCAATATTTTTAAATTATTTTATTGTATACATCGGAGTTTTATTGAGAAGTCAACTAAACAATAGTTGCTCTCAGGTATTATTAACTAAGAGTTACATTCTCCTCTTAAGTTAGTGTTTATGAAGTAAGTGCTCTCCCAAGTAAGACTTCTTCTCTCTTCGCTCCCCTAACTAAGACTAAATTATATAATACAAAAATGTGTTCATTTTAAAAAAGGGTTGCGTGGGAGGAAAAGGTTTGACCTTTTGGAAAACACAAGCGTTTCTTTATCTAAGTTTTATGATCCTACCCAAATATTTAGGGGCTGCAGAAGGCTGTTAAGTGGTGATGCAATAGACGCAACTAAACGATTTAATGTGTAACCGTCGTTCGGAATATTCCACAAGTTATTCTAAATAATCACGTACAAGTATCCGTTTGTATATTTGATGGATACATTAAATATGATTTGTTATAATTAAGACGAAAGACATGGCCCTAACAAATATACTTATTAGTTATACAATAGATGACAATAAATTGGTCGGACACGACAATATATTTGATAACATAAGACAAAAATACGACGTGATGTGGAAAGAAACGGGATGCAACAATTTCATAATGACGCCGCCCGCCCGCCTCTTCAATGACACGAGCGGTGCCAAAGTCTGAGCCCCCGGAATGCGACTATAAATAACGTAAACACGACTCAAGAAACAGGGAAGCAATTATTATATCCTTTTGCAGTGCTATTTCCTCCGCAATTCATACATAATGGGAATCGTTGCAAGTTTAGACTATGATCATTTATAATTGCGATTAATGAATTGAAACGCACTTGCGTAATCGTGAATATCGGGCTTATCTAAGCGTCTCTAGGAAATTCACTGGACCCAGCCAGCCAGCCAGCCAGGGTCGGCCTTCCTGAATCCTCTGAACCATTCAATAATAAGACGAGACGTCGTTCATTGATGATGCCTCTATTTACATTTCAGTTGCGTTGCGCAATTATCATCATCATCATCAAATGAAACAACGCCATTTCTGCTTGCACATCAACTCGTTTCTCTTCGCTACCTCCCTTCATTCATTGTCCTCCTTTGATTGCAATATTGACTCAACAAAATCAACTTTAGTCGTGTCACAGAGAGTGCACAATGCATTGCATTAAGTCATAAGAAACGCTAATAAAACGTACGAATTTGATCGCATCTTTCGACGTAACTAACGTGGCTAACTTCCAATTCTCAACACTTTCTGTTGAGTAAACATCGAGTTAAAAATATTTATTTGATTGTATTTCTTCTCTTTTTTTTTGCATCACCGCCTGACGTGACATTTGAACATATTGAACAAATTGGCATATGTTGAATACATCAACTTATCTTATTTGATTTGTTTCAGATGAGAGGAAATCTTGAAATATGGAATATTATATTACCTGTGAGTCGTTTCTTCGCTGTGGCTGAAGCCATGGCGACGTCGGAGGCGCCGGATGCGCGTGATTTCCTGCAACAAAGTACAACAAAACAAAAGCAAAGATAAGTAAGAGTTCGCATCGCAACCTTGGTAGTGGTATGCATAGCGCCTAATTGGCGCCATTACGATCGCCAGAACTAGTTTACTTGTATACTCAGTTTCGCGAAACTGAAGGAAGGGAAGACCTCTTCCTTCCATATCGGTCTTATTGCACTCGGTATCTTCCTAATGCAGAGGAGGCATCAAATTGCCCGTCGGAACCAGTTTCAGTTCTAATTTTAGACCGTCTGGGATTATATATAGACCGCGACACTTATCCTCTCTGCAGCACCACCGCAGACGACTTTCTAATTAACTTAGATTTTTAACTCGTCCCTCAATCATCACTCAATTTCGATCAAAAAAAACGCACGCAATGCGTAGAGTGAAAAGCTGTTTGCCTTAGATTAGATAAAAGCGAAGAGTAGTTATTCATAATTCGGTGCTCTCTTATCTCGGTCTGCACGAGCAACACCGGAAACGACGACCAGAAACAGAGATTCACGATATTTCCATTGATCAACAAAGAGAATAGAGTTAAAATTTGTCCGTTCTTCAGCGAATTGGGTTTCGGCGGTTTAACGATCAATTAGATCATTTTCTCTGCGACTTGTCAATTTCCACTTTCGAACTTGTCAATTTCTACTCGAGAGTTTCCCTTTTCCGAAAGTCCTTCAAACAATTCGCTAATAAAAACGATTAACTCTTTTCCTTTGTTGATACAAAATCGTTAGGAAAATAAAATCTGAATCTGATCGTTCGTTACTTAGATTGAGTAAGAAGCAAAAAGGTGATGTTTTTAACGTTACTGTTGACCTGAACTCGTTCGATAGTTTAATTTTAGGCTTACGCGCGTCAATGCGAAATGAAAACATCAATTTTCGCTTTTGCATACTCCATAAAAATGTATATATATATATAGAATGCATTCATTGAAAGAAAACAAAATAGGCGTGTATCATCATCAACGAAAGTGAATTGTGAATCTTAAAACAAACGGAACTTATTTGTACGATGATATGTTGATTGAGCTTTTACAAAAGTAAAGTAAAGTTGGATCATGATGATCTTGATTTTGAACGCAGAAGATGGTTATCCTTGAAGGTGCACGCGACTCGCTTTTATAATAGCCAACACCTTTTTGGTTGTCGACGTAACGACGAATCTTTTGGCATGCAACCGCCGCAGTGCAATAATGAATGTGCGGATCCAGTGTAAACCGTCCCCAATGTGCGCTTCGCTATTTAAAAGCGACGGCCGCGAAAATGAAAAGAATCCGTCGTTAAATTTAGCAGAGAAGAAAGTAAACTAATATTACTGTCGTTCATTCTCCCTGTATTGTAATTGTCAACGCGATGACTTTGCAAAAGTAATGATCGAGCGACCGATTGACTTTATCATCGATGACGTTTTCGCCGGAAATCCAAACAAATAACAAGGGAAAACGCATGTAAATAACAGCTCGATCGATTGATCCGCGACAGCTGCGTAATATTATTATCTGTGACGATCACATTTAACATTTGTCGAAGACAAAGTTGAATTTCAATTGAGATTATTGAATTTAAAACGTACTTTCAATAACTCATTAAGTCTCTGGCAAATTAGCCACTGCTGCTGTTGCAGTTAATTACGAAACACGCGGATAATTACTTAATAGGATTTAAACGGTCGACGGAAATACCGGTTTGGCTAAATCGTCGTTTCGATGCATTATTTCAGCAACCCGAAAAACCGTGTATTTTATTACTAATTAGCTTCTTTTTTTTTTCATATATAATTAGCTTTCTATAGCATTGAATATAGTTTGTGAAGACAAAAATAAAATGAACAATTGAACAGGTTACAGGTAAAATGTCGTAAAATTGAATATTCATGGCGTGAGCGTGTATATCATTATTATTATTATAATTTTCATAAAACGTAAGTAACGACGATACTGTGTTGCTGCGCGGACGACCTTATTTATTTATCGCGGACGCGGATAGAAAACTATTGCACTTAAGAATTTGAAAATCGTAAATCGTTCTTTTGTTTTATCGATTAATGGTGGCGCATTAAAGTTGTAAAATTATATATAAAAAAAAATAAGTTGATTTTATTGCGGGATGTGAGGAAAAAAAAAATGTAATTTAGATAAAAGATAAAAGATTGTCTTATTGGCGTATAATAAGTTATGAAATTAAAAAAAAAATTAGCGTTGATAGTGGACGCAGTTATAAATATGGTGAACGATAAGAATGGATTTAATAGACATATATTTTGATGTATTATAATGTGTATTATCTATCTATCTATTATGTATACAAAGGGTGACCAATCTAGTTCTATGTATAGATTTGAAAAATCCACTTTTTGAACAACCCTTTGCATGTAAATAATAATTATCAAAGTTGAAAGAGGACAATCATTGTAAAAAGAGAACGTAAAATTTTGAGGAAAAAGTTGGTACTGATTTAGTAATTGAGAGATGGTGTGAACAACTTACCTATTGACGATTTGTTTGAAAGTAAATGTAACAATAGTAGTAGTAGTAGTAGTAGTGTACACGAATCACGCTACTTCTTCTTCAGTTATTATTCTCTCTGGTCTGTCTACTCAATAATGTCAGTTAGATCTTTATGCAACTGATTTCGAACGGCAACTGAACGTCGGAAAGGCCGTACCCGCATCCTATATAGCCACCACCGCTCAAGCAAAAGCCGCTTTACTTCTTTATTTTGTTTTGTAATTATTATTACGCGTTCCCTCCTCTTCCTTCTCCTCTCCCCCATTCCCAAAACGTGTGTCGTTTCCTTTCCATATTCGTGTTGTACCAATGCCCTCTGCCCTCCTCATCCCCACCAACCCGCAATTTCACTTTGTACCCTTTTCCCCCTCCCCCCTCTTACATCGGAATCGCACGCCTCTCGCCCTTCGACGAAATCCCCCCCCCCTCCTACTGCTTCTACAACTCTATTTATTTACGTACTTGTTGCGGTTGACGTAACGGTCGGTCCTCCGGTGCGGGCCAATCGCGGCCCGCGTTCTTCGAAAGGACCACGTGGTTTTCCCGCCTGCTATAAATATAGCTGGCGTCGGCCTCTCCGAACGACGAACACACCCATCACATTCGACCAATGTTCGCTATAACCGAACACACACATACACACAGAGTGTACGCACTTACCTGGTTTCGACTCTTGTCGCGTCTACCTGCATATCGGTCTCTCCTCTTGTGCACGATGCATGCACGGGCCACGGGCCATTCACCCTGAGCGCATCGCGAGAAAACGTATTCGTATTCTTTTGGGAAAGTTCGAAGGACGAGCCAGCAGGCTGCGTTCCTGGAACCGAAGAAATGTGCCACCACCGCCTCCTCCTCCTCTTTTTTTTTCATTATTGATCAATAACATAACATAACAACAACAACACAGCGCGCGTTATTTTCGGTCACCTCGGAAACTGGTTATTATATATATATATATACATATGCAGTCGTAATTTGTTGTTTTCATGATTCTACCTATCCGAAACGAAAGGTCTTTTATTTTCCCAGAAGACTAATCTCACTTTTTTTTTTGCGTGTAACTCGAGGACCGCAGATGTTACAGTAGAGTTTGAGTTCTTAAATTAAAGCTAAGAAAATGTGTGTATTGGATTTACATTTTTTATGTATTACTCAAGATCCATACATGCCGCAATAGAACATGAGTACTCAGATTAAAGCTAAGAATATATTGAGAAGAAAATTAGCGTATTGACATTGTCGTGAGACTAATAAAAAATTGAAGAAGTTAAAGATGAAAATGTGAATAATATTTTGTCAAATTTGAAATATTTTTACGAATTACTCTACATGTTTCAATAGAAATTGGTATTGTTGCAGAAGCGCGCTCGTTAATAGTAAATGTATAGAATGTTTTTAACATTGTGTCTGCTGGATGCTGCAGGCAGGCAGGCATCATCCATCTCACGTTTTCGGATTCCATCTCCAAATACCAAATTCTCATCCTTGTTTTATGGTCTGCCTGTACATTCCGAGCTCCTCGTATAAAGTCTTAACGAATTTATGTCAGCTTATTGAAAAGGCAAAAGCGAGCGGTGAGGAGAGCGCGGAGAAGAGCAGCAGCAGCAACAGCAGCAGCAGCAGCAGGGGAAACACAAACCGAGAGATGAAGAAAAAAAAAATTATAGCCAGCCACCGAATAATGTGTACATGGACATGGTCTTATATGGGAATCGAAAGAAACGCCCTTTGTGTGTCTTTTACTGCTGCTGCTGTTGATGTTGCATGCGTGAAGAAGTCTCGTAAATCTCGCTTGAATTCTATTTTTATCCACGACCGTTTTACCAAAACTAGCTTGTTTGCTACTTCTACTACGGAAACGCACTGTATCAAATTAATACTGTCCGCTTGTTAATTAAAAGAAAACCGGTCAACAGTTTCGACTCCCATCATCATCATCATCAAATCCCAACGAAACTAGTCCACGTCACAAGAAGCACTTTTACTTTTTCCTTTCAAAACCTATTCAGCAATTTTTCCGTTCCCATCGTTGTTTATTTCCACAAACAACCCAAATTTTGAAAGGTGCAAATTGTTTGTACCGGACGGAATCAGTAATAAAATTCTAAAATAGAACTCGATAAACGATTTTGCTTATTTTTAGGTAATTTGTTGTGGAAACAATGGAAGATTTGCGTCTGCTTGTTTGTTTGATTGACGAAACGTAAAATTTAGTTTCATTTAAAAATTAGCTTTTATATCCTATTGGATATTGTTTTAACTGGTCATCGAATGAGATGCTCAAACATCGTAAAACATTTGGCACGGTCGAGTTAAGTGCGGTTTATTCGACAAACCACAAATTGTTTGTACCAACAACACTCTTGGATTTGTAAGTGCGTAATATTTTCGGTAATTTTAATCGATTGGACGATTCTTTGAATATCTGAAAAAGTAATAAGTCTTTTCAGGAAACTGAAAATTTAAAGTTTGTATGACGACGTCATCTCGTCTAATCTGAACCGGATACATCAAAAATTAGACGCACTCTCTGATTACTTTAACGTTCAACTTGTAACTATAAATGAATGTCGCCTTCTTTGATTCATTTTTTTGTTATATTCATATTCATAACCATACACATAATTATTTATTATGATTAAAGACATATTAGTACTAGTAGTAGTAAGTAGTATTGCTTCAAATTGGATAAATTTAGCGAAGAACAAACAGAGAGTGTGTTGGATGGAATTGATTGGTATGCAACTTGTGTTGTTCGGTGCGACGAGAATGGAATGTGTGGCGTGTGGAATGCGAGCGCCTCGCACGGCCCGCCTAATACCAGGAGAACAGGAAAGAGGACGGATGATCGGAATGCGAACGTTGCAGAAGACGAATGAAAAGATACATTACATGCATGCATTCACATATGTATGTATGTATATATACAGAGTGTATTCGCCAGTATTCGCAAACTGTTGTTATGCTGACAACAGATGATGGTGAAAATCGATTCGGGCCGCGCGTATTTCCATGATGCTGATGCTATTACAGCCAGCACCAGCCCAAAAGACCGAAGCGGATATTATCGGTTTTATTGGAAGTGTATCGATGCGCTTCCGCACACCTTCTGCGCCCCTGGCACCACAAATCATCTGTTGGACGGCTTTCTATAGGTTCCCGAACATTGATTCGATCGGATATCATTTTCACCGCCATCATGATGATCATTCATCATCGTTCAGTATAATAAAAACAAAAAGCAATAATCGATTATTATTTTTTATAAATTATAAATAATTGTTATAAAATAACAACGTAATTGATTTTAATATTTGTTTAAAAGTGAAACGTGTTTTTTTTTTCAATAATTTGCAATAAATAATGATAAATTATCCAATTTATTTGATAAAAAAAAATATTTGGCAGCGGTGGGATTCGAACCCACGCAGGGGACCGTCAGTTGCTGGTTAATTAATTGCTCGCTAGGTG